ATTAAATATATATATATATAAAATTAAAAAAAAAAATCATTTTGTTGGTAGAGGAAGGTTTAAACCACTGTATTTCATTGGGGAGGGTCCATGTAGAACGCTTTGACTGTCAGTCACCGATCCCCGCAGGGGTTGCCCCCCTTGCTCATCGTTTCTCCATTGCTCATTGGAGGGACAGACAGGGGAGGGGGTGGGCACAGCTGGCTCTGGCTCTAGAGAGTCAATCGGGCAGTGGTGTGGATCATGACAATATTGTCAGAATCTTTCCTGGCTGCAGTGCTGCTCTGCATTGTCAGCAAATAGCAGGCAGTACCCCGATAGATGCTGACTTTGGGTCGCAGGAGTACATTAGTGAAAGTACTCCTGTGACCCAAAAGAGGACTAAAGCAAAAAAAAGGTTTGGCTTTAGTTCTCTTTTAAAGGTAAACAGAATTTCTATCTTAGATACTGTTACAGTAATATGTGTCCCCATATGAAGATTTTTCCACACCTCTTGCTCACCTCACTGACAATGGTCACCAGTACAATTTGAGGGGTGAATCTCCCCAATAGTGGCACAATGTCTAACCCACTCTTACTTTATCCAAAAACTATATAAAAATGGAAAAAATTATATATCTGCAATTCTGGATGTCATGCTTCTATGTGCTCAATACACTTCTCGTTTACCCACGGGCGACACTCAAAGCAAAAAGACTAATGACAAAAATTAAAATGTATCTGTGTTACGTAAGCAAAACCTATCATGAGAAAAATATGTAGGCTGCCACTGGAGCCCAGCAATGACAAGCTCTGCATTTCTCAAATGACGGGTGCGGTTTAACTCACTTGACCCATGACGTTCTGACATCTCAAACAAGGTATTTCCCTGAGGAGTGTTTCCACGGTAAGACAATGGAGTACTGACAGGGTGTGTCCAGGTGGTGACATTGTGTTTTAGAAAGCCCTTATACTGAAGGAACATCCAGACAAGGAGACATTACACTGAAAAGCCAAGTCAAGACCAACATTAGCAGTTGGGGAATTACAAATTCCAACATCTGTATCAAAGCATAGGGGCTGCCATTCTTCCACAGCACGTGCAAGAGTAAATATGGATTGTCTCCTGAGGCCAGCACCTCCACTGCAAGGAAATACCATTTTGACGTTGCATTTATTATTCTACACACATCACACACATTTTTAGGAAATACATATAAACCAATCAGAAAAGGAATTACCTCTTAGAACGTAAGGCTGATTTATTGCTGGTGTTTCCTCTTCCTGTACTACCTATCAATCAAAAAAGGAACCAATAAATCCACTTTTGTCAGAATGTAAAATAAACCTGTAATGTCTGAAATTGCTCCATCTTCAAAAGTCATTAAGCTTCCTGAGTATGTGTTTATTTGTATTGTAGTTATGTAACATATGTTACCAGATACAAATGAATACAGAAATCAAAATATGGAAGGACGAGCAAGTAAAAATGTGACAGATTTTCCCCATATCATTTTGATATTTGCAAAACTCTTCTCAAGAGTCAGTTCACTGCTTACATCAGGGCTAAAGAGAAGCACAGAGAGCCGGTGTTGACTTTATTGGGTCTAAAATAAATGATGTAGTAAAAGCTGAATGGTTTTCCCTTTTATACATTCTAAGGGGAATCTATCAAAACTGGAATAGACAAAATCTGGAGCAGTTGTCCATGGCAACCAATTAGCTTCTCTCTTCAGTTTGTTCAGTTAAGATTTGATAATGAAAGAGAGAAGCCGATTGTTTGTTATGCACAGCTGCTCCAGATTTTGTCTGCTCCAGCTTTGGTAAATTCTCCTCGCTGTCTTTTATTGGAACTTCCTACAGAAGCCCTCTGGATAAAGCAGGAGGGAGGGAGAAGAGGAGTCACTGCTTTGACTCATTCAGCTATCTGTATACCTTTGATCTTGAGCTATGTGAACAGCAGGCTTTCTTTCAGGAAGCCATGTGAAAAGTTGGCTGAAGCTTCACCAGCTGGATGAAATAAAAAAATGTATATATACACAGGCCCAGGGGGAGCCACCACACACTATTTGCCTAAATTCTTGGGTGCTCATCCACATATATCCAAAGTAGGTGCAGAGGCACTCACAGGTCTTGCAGAGTAGATGCAAGAAAGTATCAGCATTTGATTATCAATGTTTCGATGGAGCTCAGTCCTTGATAAAGACAGACTGAACTCTATCAAAATGTCGACAATAAAATGCTGATGCTTTGACTTATCTCCTCAGCAAGGCCGATGAGTGCCTCTATACCTACTTCGGATTTCTGTGTGTGTGTGTGTGTGTGTGTGTGTGTGTGTGTGTGTGTGTGTGTGTGTGTGTGTGTGTGTGTGTGTGTGTGTATATATATATATATACACACACACACACACACCAAACACACACATACAAACATACATACATGCACACACATGTGCATGCTATACATGCTTCTGCACAGTATCTTTACTGCCTCTTTAAGACCCATTGGTGCATCAATCTGATAATAAATCCATCAAATTCAGACTTCTTCTGAAATGAACAATCATGTACGGGAATCATTCTCTTTATCTCATAATAACCACTTGAAACTCTGAGTGAGCCAACAGCATTTATTAAATAATGAAGCCATTAGAAAGGCAATATTTGCTGAAATTTTATTCAAACAAATCAAATAAAGATCCATGGCCTGTACTAATGCAGATTTTCTTTATGAGCAAAAACCTGTGACACAAAAGCCTATTTGGCAGGCTCCAGCTGTCTGCCAAAACAACATATGCAGTCTTTCTCTTAGCATGCCTCTTCGTAAAAGGAGATCATATTGCACATCCAGAGAAAGCTAGCAAACCAAAAGAAGTAACCTATTGGGTTGGTATATGGGGGGTTTAGAGAAGTTACCTAGTGGTATAAATGGACCCGTAAATAGGAAGCATTTAAAGTCTTCATGTCTGTGTGTAGGTAATTTCTGTCACAATACTACTACCCTAAAGAAAGTCATCGAAAAAACCATAAGTGACGCAGAACATTTCTGCTCGCCCCACTTATTATTATTAGACCATAATTAAGTCTGGCTTGAGAAAAAGAGGGAGTTTGAACTCCTCTTACTTTGGCAAACCCAAAAGAAAATGCTATACACTAGGCAAAAGATTTTAAACCTAGTAATAAGGCTGGTAGATTGTTGGAGTATTTGACCATTGTGGGGAACAACAGACCTGTACACTCAAACCCTGGATACCTTCACTGCTTTTTATACCACTCTATATATTCCGCCACTACAAAGATGACAAATTATTTCAGGATCTGAAAAAGTTTAACTGCCAACTCTGCATTCCCAAAAGAGAGAATCCTTCAATGGCCAAGAGGAAATTGATGCCGCTCCGCCCCGAATCCCACATAGAAAGACTCTCGGTCTAGATAGGTTTCCTACCATATGGTACTCTTCCTTTTGCACCACACCATAAATGATTTATATGAGCGAACTGAATTGCTACCTTTAAAGTAGGAGGCAGCGTTCATTTTAATCTTAAAAGCAAAGACCCCCTGAGGTTCGACTCATATAGCCGCATATCACTGATTAACGCCAAGGATAATGGCCAAGGTCCTAGCTACCTGTCTGAATAACTACACTGAAACCCTGTTGGGCAGTGATCAGGTAGGTTTCATCCCAGGACAATCCACTAGAATAAATATACGCAGAACTATTTTCTAACCTCCAATTTCTGCACACTAATGCGAGACGTAGTGTAGTCGTCTCTTGAGACCCATAAAGCTTTTGACATTGTGGAATGGCCCTACTGGATCCAGGTGCCCTAGCACTTTGGTTTTCACTGTGGATTTATCCATTGAACTAGTATTTTTTATACTAAGCCTATGGGCAGGATTAGGGTCAACATCTGAGCCCTTCAAAATTTAACAGGGAATAAGAATAAGGCCCCTGTCCCCTCTCCTCTGGCCATGAAGCCCCTAACGACTCTAGTCAAGTGTGTCTATGTCAACTTCTTTAAAAATATCTTGTTTTATGCTGATATGCTGACACCCCGGTCTATCTGGTGGACCCTGATCAGTCACTCTTCCTTCTTCTTCAATTATTTAGTGAGTTTGGATCCTTTTGGGATGTCATTCCCGTTTCCCACTGACCAGGAAGCATTAAACATGTCTTTATCATCCCAATAGACTCAGCACAACCCAGCTTGCTCCCCTATGTGCGCAGCATGCACAACCATCACATCCCAAGCCTGCCACAGTGCTCCCATCAGTGAATCAGAAGGCTAATATGTGTCAGGTTGCTGGCAGATGTGCACATGTTGGGCAGCCTGCACATCACTTTCATGTCCCTCCCAGTACTGACCCTGTTCATTCTAATCTCTGTGAGAGGGTGAAAGGGCAAAACTGTAGTGTTATCGTCTCTCTCTGTGTGTGTGTGTGTGTGTGTGTATATATTATATATATATATATATACACATATACACACACACACACACACACACTGTACATATGAAGGTGTCTATTTCTTAAACTTAGGGCTTTCACTTAAAGTGTATGTAAACCCTAACAATAAACAATGGTATGTAAGCCATCACACAGTAAAACATGGGGAATGTGCATATGTTGGCGAGATGTACTGCATACTTATTATTTTGTCCTGACATACACTTTACATTTTATGAAGTACTTACCATTCTGATCGCCAAGTGCCTGGTTTCTGTCCGTGATGACTTTCTCATCCTTCAACTCTTCTAGAATTCCTTTGTTCAGACATATGTCCACATGTCTGTTAAACGCTGCAAGGTCTGTAGTATCTTGCTGTGTATTGCACACTGGGCAGATCAGTGTGGACTCTTCCATACACACTGATGAACCGGGTGGTGTTGACATTATATGCTTGTCAGCATCTTTGAGAACTGCTTGCTTTTCCAACACCATATTATTAGAGGTGTCCTCACTTATAATTTCACTATTGCACTCAATAAGATTCCTCTGCAAGGTTTGATTATTCTGTATTGCCCCCAGTGTATACTTATCAATAACAAAGTCATACAAATCATCACATGGTGCTATTGTCACCATTTTGTTTTTAAGATTGTTTGCATCGATATCATTCCCATTGCCTTTGTTAATTGCAGTCAGCTTTCTTTGATGTTTTCCTTTGTTTGGCATTTCAGAGACCCCAGAGGAAGGTGATTTGCTTAAACATTTGTCGATATGCTTATTAAACCCTTCCAGGTCCCAGTCTCCTTGCTTTAGAAGGCAGATCGGACATGTGAAATCTGGATTTTCTTTGACATCGTCTGCTTCAGCCTTGGGTTCTTCACATAAAGCAAAGATCACATTTTGGTCTTTGCTAGTAGTAGCTGTTTCGGAGGAACTTTGCAGCAATTCCTGCTGCCTGGCTGCCCGCTTCTGATTGAAGAAGCTCTCTCTCTGAGGACACGTGGCTGGTCTTTCTTGGACTGTTCTCTCTGTGGCTTCTGAACAAATTTTGTTTGATGGTTTATTAGCGCACAAAAAACTGGTAATGCTTTTCTGGTGTTTACGGTCTTCTTCTGATGTGAATCCTGACACTCTTACACCTTCAAAAATTAAAAATAAAAGATAATTAAAGGCTGCAATTCTTCTAACTCATAAATCTTGTATATACATAAAAAACTTGACTATATAAAAACAATGTAAATGGTCTATTAAAGTGACATTAAAGTAAAAAAAAATGTTCTCCCTCCCCCAATGCTGCTGTATGCACTTACCTTAAATGATGCGTTCATCTTCTTCTTTGCTGTCGTTTTTAGCAGTCCCTCCAGCGCTGGTCTCTGATCCAGCGCTGACTGCTGTGTTGTCTGTGTCCCACGGAGTCTCTGCGGGCGCACGCTGCTGGGCTGCCTGCATTGACTTACCTTGCGTCTCTCCTCGTCTCCCGGACAAAGATCTGTACTGCGCATGCACCCATCCCATGATCCTTTGCGGCCACCCGAGATTTTTCAGATCTTCAGACGGGAGCGCGCAGCTGAGACACAGGTAAGTTTAAACCTATTTGGTAACTTTTTTTTTTTTTAGTGTTTTTGCATATATCTACAGCTTGCTAGCAGTAGATATATGCAAAAATCTGCGGGGGTTTAAATACCCTTTAAGCTAAAAAGGTTTTCATTTTGAATAGATTACAGAATGGCTAAAATCCCTGGAAGGTTGTGTTCTTTTCCATCTGTGCCCCATGGGGTGGGGAGGAATTACCTTTCACTTCCTGTCCTGTAGACATAGCAGGAAGTCAAAGGAAATCTCTTCAAAGCAAACAAAACCCCCTCTTTGACTGGCATGGGAAGAAATGGCCCTATCGAAAAAAAAATCCAATATTCTTTTTCTGGTGACAATTCATACGTTTTGGAATTTAGGTCCCAATGACATTGGGTTCACCAGACAAAAAGGGGTTTATATATAAAAATGCTGTTTGCATTTCCCACGGCACTAGCACCCCTAGATGGCGCTGATGAATTTACAAAAACTTTTACAAATTAACCCCAAAGTAAATCTCCCTAGCAAAGTCACATACAGCAATATGTGAAAGAAGTTTTCACCCCTCATCACACTATCCCCAAAAAAGATTCACTATAGGGGGTGATTTATAAAACGTTCTCATAGCAAATTTCCTATGCTCTTCGGCTCCATATAGTGGCCATACCATGCCATGATGTAAGCTACTTAAACAACAGCACAGCAAATATATGAGGTTGGAAGATAACACCATACTTGAAGCATATCTAAACCCAAAAGCAAACATATAATATATTGCATCTTTCTAATCCTTATATGTGGTGATTGCATTACTGGATTATTATTTTTTAAATGATCACCTGGTGCTGCAGCCAGTAAGTCTGTTGTTTTTCAACTTACTTTTAACAGGACAAGCCATCCAGGAAAAGTGGCAGATAGAGGTCTTGGACAAACCATTGAACACTGAACGGGGTGCTTAAATTGGTTAGCTTTCATTCACTGATGTAAAACCTTTATCCCAAAAGGAAAAAAAAACTGTTCCTGCAACTACTTAAAAATTGTTAGCTGGAGTTCAGATTTAATTTGTTAGTCAAGTCTGTCTAAATCTGCTAGTCCATCTTACACTTCCCTCTCCACAGGCTGACAAAGATGCTGTCCTAAGGTGGCTCCATTGTTCCTCCATAGAGTGGAAGTACCCTAAGAAAGGAAGTATGTTACTGGCCAGATCACCAGGTGAAAAAAAAATTAAAAATGAATGCTAATGCAGCCTTTACATTTAAAGAAGTATTAAGGTCTGGGCGTTTTTTACCTTAATGCATTCTCTGCAATAAGGTAAAAACCGCCCAGCGACCGACGAGCGTCGCTGACAAGTAAGTGTGGGGGGGGCTGGGGGGGACCCAGGCCCCCCCCCACTTACCTGTCAGCAACGCTCGTCCCAGCTGCCAGTCCTGAAGTGATCCTCCGTTCCATGAACTTCCCGGTTGCGGGGAGGATACTGATGGCAGAGGAGCCTTAGGCTCCTTCTGCCATCAATCAAACTGTTGGGCGGAGAGGAGGGGCGTGGCCTGCCACGGATGTCTATGGACATTAGCTGATGGAGGCACCCGTGCAGGGGGTGGGGGGAAGAGGGCTGTGGGGACCCACTTAAAAACAAGGAATTTAAAACAACAACAGCCTCAGGCAAAAGGTGGGCCTCCTTATAGCAAATATTTTAAAAAAAGGAAGATTTAATATCACTTTAAAAACTGGTAAGATGAAAAAATATTTGTTTTTTCTTTTTGTGTTTAGATGCACTTTCTATATATTCAAACACAATCTATTCAAACTACTCTCAGAGTTTAATATCTTCCAGAAACAACATTTAGCAACAACTGTGGAGTATAAAACTAATAATTATTTTAATAAATAAAACCCATAGACAGGATAGTCTGAAAAATGTTAATACTTCTAGTTGAAAGTTTGTCTAAAATGGATTTGAAGAAAGAAATGACTGAAACATTTTAACAATAAAATCAGTTATTGAGATTGTGTTTGTATGAATAATTTGTTATGTAATTTTATATGTGCATCGGGCAGCCATATTGGCCTTTTACAAATGCTCGCTATGCTTCTGATTTTTAGCACTACACAGTGGTTGTGCTTTACTGCTTCTTCTCACAATGCAAGTATATGATTCAACTGACAGAATGAAAACAATGCGCTGCTTGTTTGGCTATCTATACTGTTGTTAGGCAGTTAGGTAGAGACATTGTAATGGCTGATGTATACTGCCCCGAGTGTAGACATTTGAAGATTAGCCCCTAAAGGCAGGACAGATTAGCTAATATGTCAGTCAGCGGAAAGACAGACTTGCTTTGTGAATGGGAGCAGTAAGTAGTGCCCACATACTGTACATATTGAACAAATATGGTCTATCTACAAGTTCAAATAAATGCATCTTAAAATCCATGTATTTTTTAGGTTGCTTACACACTAATTGTGTCTGCAATTTATGCAACAATCAAAAAGTAATTGATTTAAATTCCTTATTTTCAGGAGTCTTAAAGTGTAGTTCCACTTTTGCAGTCAAATTTGAGAAACCCCCAATTATTAGTTTGTTGTGTGTTCCCATTCACACAGTATAATGAACAATAAGATTTAAAAAATATTTCTTACCTTTTAGCTATTTCTTTGGTGAAGGCCTTTGTGCAAATTACAGGCTACTCTGAGCAGTTTGAGAGTAAAACTATAGTGTCAGACGGAGCTTCTCATTAACATACAATGCTTCTAACAGGGTTATTCACTAAAGGGTGAAGAGCTTGGAGAAGGCCGGAGAAGGGAACAATCTAGGATAACATAGCTGAACTGAAAAATGAGCTGAATTGGAGAATTTTTCCAAATCGGCTATGTTGTCCTAGATTTTTCACTTCTCCTGCCTTCTCCAAACTCTTCACCCTTTTGTGAATAATCCTGTAAGTCTTTAACCCTTTGTTAGGACAGTGTTCATATCTAGTTTACAACGGATAATGAAACCTGCCAGCACAGTACAGACAGGGTTAATTCGAGTAAACATAACCTCACACAGCCCCCTCCTTAAGATTACATGGGGGGGAGAGCTAGGTAGGATTTTTAAGCAAGAACACTTAAAATGTTAGCAGCAATTTTTTTTTTTTTTTTTTTACATTTTGCAATGTGAATGGGCACAAAATGTAACAAATCTATAGCAGCTGTTATCCTAATTTGGCTGCAAAAGTGGAAATAGACTTTAAAGTACATAAAAAATAGTGATTCTCAAGTTTAAACTAAATAAATACAATTTTTTGAAGGACTTTGGTACATAACATCTGAAATTTCCAACAACAAAACAAAAACGATTGGACTTTACCCATCAACCTAAGACGCAGCGGTTCCGGTGAAGCTGCCTCAATCTCAGCTTTCAGAATTTCCTTGGCAAGGCAGAAGATTTCTTCTTCTGTAGAGACTGTGTGGGATACAGTGGACGCTCTTGTCTTTACCTCAAACTTCACATTTTTCAGCTTTAGAGTGACAGTTCTGCCCTATAACAAAGGAAGCAGCAGTCAGAACTGAATGCTGGAAAGTCTCCAGCGTGTTGGTTTTGGCAGCCTGAGCCAAGTTCACATGCAGGTTAGTGAGCTACACTTATAATGGGAACTGCGAGTCGCACCCACTGTCTGAACTCAAGCTACTCCGAGGACCTGCCACAATACACCGCCAAACGCTTAATAAATGGTTAGAAAACATCAGCTGGCGATCCCCAAGACTCAGTGCAGGAAATAACTTTGAACAAATGTAGCCATAGCAGGAAATTCACAGACAAAAAAATATATACATTTGGATTCCTGGTTGTAAAACTGAAAAATAACCATTGTAACTGGAAAAAAATGACAACAACCAGTCTTTCATGAATTCTTTCTTTAAAAATGAAATAAAATAAAGATGTGAATTGTTTGTTATAGTTCATTCCCATATAGCAGTAAATAGGATTTTTAATGCAGATTTCAATGTCTTCACTTATCAGCCCTAATATGCATACAAAGTAATAAATACTATTATGTATGTATTTTACTATAAAAATCAGCTCCAGATATACTGTATATTATATGTTTTTAAGTTACTAAATTATTAATGTATTTTTGGGTGTAGGTTATGGAGGTAAAAGCATAACTCCGGGCAAATCAAATCTCAACCCTTGCAGTGGGGCTACCACAGCCGCCCTCCCCCTACGAGAGGAGACAGGCGGTGTAGGAGCCAGCCAGGATTGCAGTTTGGGTGAGTATAACTTTTTTTGTAGCTGCCTAGACAAATCAAGCACTGCAGGGGTTAAGATCTGACTGGTCCAGAGTTCTGCTTTAAAGTTTAAATTCGGGCTTAACAAGTAATATCTATATACATGAGCCATATGCATTCTTTGAATCTTGATGTTATTTGTGTATTTCTCCTAAATCTGTGTGGCCATCCATCAAACAACTGCTGTACTTTGCCTCTGTGCAGGCATTTCCTGTAATAAAAGACCAGTCACTGCTGTTCTCACTCCTTGTGCAGGGTGACTGGTCTCGTCTCCGCCCCTCCTGTACTTTCCTGCAGGCAGCCTGTAGTGGGGGGAGCCTGCTGGGTCCCTCCCACAACCTATGTACAGCACAGTGACGGGGTTACTGCTATTTAAAGTATTATCTGGGTTTTGCAGAGGCAATTGGTGCAAAGTGGATTTATATTATTTGTGGCTAATGACCAATTTTCTGTGCCCAGAGTTCAGCTGTAAAGCTTAAGATTGTTGTCACCGGTCTAGTAAAGTTTATATTCCAAAGAGTTAACAGGAGACAGAACTCTAAGAAGTATTGTCATTCTTCTTACTTTGCAGCAGGGGCAGGAGACTTACACGCCTTAAATATAATACAGAACAAAAACATTACCAAGTAAATTAGTTCCTATGTCCTTATCTGTTAAGTGGGTATCTTGGACATGTTGCTAGAGATTCTGTAGAAACCTTGTTACAAGAGTCATTTTGTTCCTAAAGCTTTTGTACAATGTCACTGTCTTCATCTGTTATATTACCACAATCGCAAGCAAGAAGCCGATGTATTTGGGTCCAAACCCATTCCTTGTAACCATGTCCTTTAATATCAACCTGGTTGTAGAAATGATGCCGCAGACTTATATGCAATTCTCTTGTACTTGCATATTGGTCCTTCAAAAACATTTAAAAACCTAGTTTCACATCCCGACGCTGACAGGTCCACCTTTCCCGGCCTTGCATAAGTAATGTTTATATTTGCACTATAAAGCTTTAAAGACTTCCTTGACTAAATGTGAATTGCTGAATTCTGTTAACTTGGGTAGGATAAAGTAGAACCTTTTTTCTATTTTTCAATAGATCGGGCAGAGGTTGGATCTTCTACAGTTTGCGCCCCCACTGGTGAGATCTTTCCATACCCCCTGTCCCAGAACCACAATGGGAACCAGGACATTTCATCAACATGAGAAGGATTCCTAACTTTGGCTGTCACTGAAACAGGGCAAATTCCCCTCACCTCCTTTTCCATTGACAACCATTGACAACTGTGACATTTTAGATTTCCCTTTTCAGTCTTGGTCTCTTTTGCGTGAATTTCTCCAATAGGGATACAGCCAACAAGAAAAATGTAACAGTGGTTCTAACTAGGGATGCATCGATACTTTTCGAGTACCAATGCCGATACTTGGCATTTTCATGAGAACTACCAGGGTTGCAGCGGTTACAGCTGGGACCGGGCTCTGGCGCTCCACCACTGTCCTGAAATCATTAGTTGATATTGTTTTAGAAAAACTGTCACATGACAATAAACAAAAATGTATCAGTGTGCTTGTGATCTGCTCACCATCCTGACTGCTTCACCTGTCACAGGAGGCTGAGATCTCCTCTGCACTGCTTGGCCTCCTGACAGCTGTCTCCTCCCTGCACCACCCCGCTCAGCCTCCTCACAGCTTCTCTCCTCCCTGCTGGCTGCTGAATCGGCTCTGTGTCCCCTCCGATCACCGCTGCCTCTGTCGACACAGGCAAGGGAGAGTAGCGTGCGCCCAGTGGGAAGGACAGATGCTAGGGATGCACCGCTGCACTGCAAGGGTCAAGTGCTCATTTTGGTCTAGGATTAAAAATGAAGAACATACACTTATTTGATCCTCGGTCCTGTCTGACTGCTAGACCAGTCGCTGCAGCCTCTTCTCCCCTTCGCTCGAGCAGGCTAAGGGCCGCTGACGTCATCATATCTAAGGCAGGTCCTTTGACCAGCATTAGATGTTCTTCGCATACCTTATTTTTCTTTTCTTTCCCAGTCTTATGAAAGTGGGCATCTTACTAAGAGCAGGTTACTAGATCTCCATTTACTTCCTGGAACTCTGGCACATGTGACCAGGACATGTGACCATGCACATCATCTCAAGGAAGGAAAATGCCTTTCCCTTAGATCTCGTGAGATTACAGATGAGATTTCCCAGCAATACTCTGCTGATGTAACCTTCCCAGGATACAATACTTGGGCACAGTACATAATTTGTGCCAAAATGGACCAGGAAGTAGATGAGCTCTATTTGTAAGTAAATGAAAAAAAATGTTTGTTTAATGTATGAATGTAAGTTGATTTTAAGTCAGTATGTAGAGCTGTGTGCTTTTTAGTCAAAGGGGGTAAAGGTCCACTTTAAGAAGAGGTGCCATTCTGTATTACTGCCGCTCCAAATCTTAATGAAATGCACCATTTTCTATAACAGACATTCACACAAGTAAAACCATCTTGATTCATACAAGATTACCTATACACAAGCAAACAGGGACCTCTATACAGCAACCCAACTTACAGTGCACCCATCATTTATGGTTAGTAGAAATCCAAGTAAATGGCTGCAATACAAACCCTTAGCCCTTCCTTATGGAGATCTTCTGCTAGGTCCTTGCAGAGTTCCCGACACAATTCATACTGTTCTTCTGCTGAGCTGATCTCATTGAAGGTCCTAAAATTTATATGGAGTTAATTCCAATTCTGTACTTGTGGCACATAGTTGCAAAAAGCCTAAAACCTGATATATACACAATATAACAATATACCGCATGTTTATAATGCAGTTAATCAGCGGGACAATGGTGGGGGGGACAGCAGGAGGGGGGGGGGCGCACTTTACAGCCGGCGGATCGCATGTATATTAACGGGCATCGCTGCCCGTTTTTAAATTGCGGCCATTTCCCGCTCGCGCGCGCCCGGCGGCACGCGCAAGGGGGCGTGTCTGAGCCGGCGTCTAAAGACGCCCGCTCAGATCTAGAGAGCTCCTGGCCGGCCGTTTTTTTACTACGGCCGGCCCGGAGGCAGTTAAAGGGACAGTCCACCAAATACTGACATTTCCTGCTGGAGAGTTGAAACAACCCCACACTTCTTACATCTTCTGCCAAATGTGCTGTATTTTTTATTTTTTTTCATTATAAAAAATGAAACAGGAAGTGCTGGAACAGCCAAAACATCCAGGTAGACAGGAAGCAAATCATTATCCAACAATACCGAGATTAAACATTTGAAGATCTTGCTGTTGGAGCATCCAAGACGCATAATAATAAGTCGGGGGCTGACAACTCATGCGGCTCCAATTAAAAAAAAAAAAAATCAATTTTCAATACCCCTTAAAAATGTAAGGAATATTTTCCACAGGTCTCTGACACTAATCAGGTTGAAATCTGTTCCTCTAGAGCAAATTACCTAATCAAATTGTAAAGAAAATACTGCCTTGCCTATAAACACATTATGTGCCTCTAACAATTGCTCAACTTTCTTACTAGTCTCTTTTATATCCCAGTGTAACCACAGATGACCTATGAGTAACTAACTAAACTAAGGACGGGCCATCCACGCAACGCAGGTAAAAATCAAACATGAACTCTGCTTATCAAATGCTACATAGGAGGCCGAGTAAGGTCCACATCACAGGTTTTATGTAAGGCTATTTTACAGATTGTGCGTAAAACATGAGGACTCCTAGAAAATCTGGTACCAGCCTAATTTTGGGGAGGGGGGAACTAACACAGACCATTTTTAGTAATTTTGGAAAAAGTTCAGCTAGCAGTGTTTGCTGTGGTCTTCTGATACCCATGTATTTGAGGCTTCATTGATGTCAATGGGTACATTAAAAAAAAAAAAAATTTAAATCCTGTGATATGGTGGCTGACATTGCTTTCTAAAAATGCTATCTGCCTGGCTACCATGCTAGTTTAATAACTTCAATCATTTCCAGATCAGTGACTGGAAACAAACATGCAATTCAGATCTTCGGACTTACTGCTTGCTTATGGTAAGTGTCTTTAATAATAATTTTAATTAGAGCTGCAGCTAACGATTATTTTCAAAATCGATTAGTTAGCCGATTATTAGGTTCGATTAATCGGTTAATCGGATAAACAATAAAGTCACTGGATAAGCATGAAAACCAGGCAACTTGCACATTCTAAATAAAATCAACAATGGCAGTCCACATATTTCTCCCATGACAAGTGCCCTTTTACTTAAAAAAACAAAAAACAAATAGTCTTCCCTGCAAAGCAAAATTAATGGTGACCTGTCCTGTTGAGCATGCTGCTGAACTTCAATGGTTTGAAGAGTTAAACTTGCTGAAAACACACCACTTTCAGGAGTGTTGGATGCCTGCATCCCCTCTGAGCTCTGTGGTTTCATCTGCTGGTCCCTATGTCACTTCAAGAGACAATAGTGATGTTGAGGCTGGTGGAAGGGATCACAGAGCACAGCAGGGAACAAGGCATCCAACACCCCCAGAAGTGACCTGGATACTGAAAAGTCTTTATCAAGTTTCAAGGCAGTAAAGATCAACACCACGGCAGCAGAACAGGCAAGTGTTAAATTTGAACGCCAGCCTTAACTTTGTACAGGTTCCCTCCTGTGTTGAAACGGATTGCCCTTTTAGATTGTAAGCCCTCATGGGCAGGACCCTCCTAATCATCTTATTTTGAATTGTATTGCAACTGTAATGTCTTCCTTTTGTACGACTGAATAAATATCAGTCAAAGTACTGCAGCGCTGAATACTGAAAAATGGCCTAGACAGGAAGGGGGTTTAAACACCCCGGTCATAAAGTGGTTAAAAAGCTGCATGTTATGTGCGGTGGGTGGCTGCCAAGTATCAAAATCTTATCTTGCAGCGTACCATCTCCTGCACATAATGCCAAGCTTCCACACACTGGAGGAAGGGGAGAGATGCGTCTTGAACAGTACAGTGGTCTGATCGCAACACCTGCCCCTCCTTACTATGGTCCATTCACAAAATGTCTTTTTTAGGAATACAAGGCATTCTGTGATTGGAGGAGGAAGGAGCGGTGGGGGATGTGACATAATCTCTCCTCTTCTATACATTTTCCATAATAGAGAAAGCACAGCAAATGTGTTTCAGGTAGTAAATGAGCTTTAAACATATATGAAATATCCATTAATACGGCATAACACAAATCCAAAGTGACTAGAACACTGAATACTGCAGTAAATGCTGTAAGAAACATGAATTACGTCAGTGATTATTCTTAAAAGACAAACATACCGTTCTGTGCTCATGCTTTTCCTTTCTCCGTCTCTGAAAAGACAAGATGATAATGGAATATTTAGGAGAAAAGAGAAATGTTTCTTGTCCATCATCGCAACCCAAAGGCCACATTCATAGCGATGTAGTATATGTATGTTGCCATAAATGCATAATGGCACGCCAATCCACATTTACAGTAAAAACAAGCGTTCAAGTGGCACAGCGCACATTTGTGAATGCGTGGGACATTGTGATGCGCTGCATAGCCCAAAAGTAGTGCAGGAATGTTACATTGTGAGTAGACGGGCTGACTTAATGCAAAGCATATTACTGCGAACGTAGGTATGTATCACCCTGTTATTTGGCTCAGTCCTCAGCCACGTGCAATACTTTAAATGGCTTAAAGTGATTTAAAAACTGAAAATTTAAATTAATCACTTGTTAATACAGCCATTAGCGTTCACAAAACGCATTGCACGCAATAACAAAAGACAACAGTATATGTGCATAAAAGTATTTAAAGTAAAAACATTTTTATTAGTTTTGGATTCAGCAGAGTAGGGGTAGGCAAATTACATCCCACCAGCTGTGGTGAAACTACAAATCCTATCATGCATCTGCTTCTGGAAGTCATGTCTGTGGCTGTCAGAGTCTTGTAATGCCTAATGGGATTTGTAGTTGCACCACAGCTGGATGACTGGAGTTTTCCTACCCCTGCAATAAAGAATGAGCCCTGACAAGTTTTATTTTTTTTGCTGTCTGTGTGTATATATGCGATAGTGACCTTTGTAAGCTCCTTGAGGGTAGGGACTGATGTGATGTGTACATTATGTAAAGCCCCAGTACTACCAAAGACAAAAGACAGTGGGGTTTGGTGTGAGTCGCTTAAGTTGGAATCACTGCTAATCACAATGTAGGGATAACATTTTACAATATTTTATTTACACACTTGTTAAAATTAATTGCAGCTAAAAACATAGTAAATCAAAAGTGTCCTACAGGTATTACTATGGTATTACTACAGAATTTACTATGTTTTTAGCCGCAATTCATTTTTATCAAGGGTGTTAACAAAATATTGCAAAAGTTTATCCCTACATTGTTATTAGCAGTGTTTCAAACTTGGGGAACTCACACCAAAACCCAATGTCTTTCTATTTGGTTGTATTATTGCTATATGTTTGGTGGGGTAACAAGCCCAGATACCTGACTGCATGCCCTCCAGTACTTTTTCTGGAGGTCAATAGAGTTATTTCATATCTAATTACTAGTATGTAAAGCCCTGCGTATATTTCCGGTGCTATATAAATGCCTGTAATAAATAACAATACACAGTGCTTTAGCAATCCAAATGTCATCCAGTTAGGCCTCATCCACAAGGGGTGTGTTGCCCCGTACAGTGCGAAGGGCAGTTTTTGATGTGCCCGGAGTGGCAGGAAGAAGTGTGCAAGCAGCTGATTTAAGTCTATGGAGACGCAGGAACTGTGCGCCCTCACATGCTGCTTCCCCCAGCTCTGGGTTTTGACAGCCGCACACAGACGGTGAAAAGCCTCGGATGAAGACATGATGGATCCAGGCTCATGCACCATCTGTGTGTGGCTGCACAACTCCTGCGTCTCCATAGACTTATATTAGCTGCCTGCACGCTTCTACCTGCTGCATGAAAAAACACCCCTTTATGCTGTATGGGGCAACACACCCTGCGTAAATGAGGCCTGAGGGTTAATATGTAGCCAGTAAAAAAAAAATTCCAGCTGATCTGACAGATTTTTTTTGCAGACAACCAAACCCTTAAAAACACACCAAAAGCATTTACACACACTGATGTTTTTACTGTCAATTATATTTTCTTGCTCACTTTTTAATATGTTTGTGTAGTTTTAACGGGAGTGTTAAGATGACACTTCTAGTTTTAGTTGGACTCAGATGAAGGACAGAAAAAAAGTCTTGTGAAAGCACATGAATGCACGTTTTTTCTTACTTCTCTATGCGTGTTGAGCCGAGGCCCAGAGAAATATGTAGGAAGTTATGCCAGGAGACGTCGGAGAAGAGCAGTGACAGGAGAGCCCTCTGCTGGTAGAGGTCAGTGCAATCTGTTATTCCCAGAGCCTGCAACATCTTCTCCGTTACTTTCCCAATCCCTGGAACCTGGAGGAAAGCACATCTGTCAATAATACATTACAGACAACTGGCAGCTTTACACAGGATGTAAGAAGCAGTAACTGCCAATGAGCATGATATCGTCCAAGAAAAGATTTGTACAAATACACTGTGCATTGTTATCAGGGATAAATGATCTGGGATTTATTAAGATGTTGTTCTATGAAGAGTGCAGAAACGTGATGGTCTGCCAGGGAGTAATGTATAATAAATGGTAAATAACCTGTCATTTCTTAATCCGTCTAATCAGCTCAAATATAAGGCATAACAAATAATGATGCCTGATAGATGAGAAACTCAAAGTGAACTGCTGAGTGCTGGTGATCATTTCTCAACTAAAGGAGATGGTATAATCAGACTGTAGTGTAAATGACCACCTTAACATGAGCACTTGCAGGCATCACAATGTGCTGCAATAACTATACATCCTATAATATGACTACAATCTCTTTTTATCGTCCAATTACCATATGTAAGAGTCTGCCTAATAGGATACACATTAACATTCTTCCAGACTTCCAGATTAAAAAGTTTTGTTAAAAAAAAAATGGCACAGAGATTATAAAATCACATTGTAACACGTATGCCTAAATTAAGAAATATTTTAGGCCAGATCAGGTTCGCTTTAAAGCAATGGCAGACAAGCGAAAGTTTGGGAGCCTTGAATGCAGACTTGAATTCCCTAATATAATTTTTTTTTTGTCTTTTTACATTAAAGTAAATAGCAACAACTGCAAGACCCTGTAGCCTTCAGTTAACAAAGGAATTTCTCAGAGGTATACAGAAAAATCACAACATAAAACTGAATCCACCATCACAAGGCAGACAGCACTAGAGCTCTCAAATGCCCCACTTGTGGATATAACCCCGCTTTATCATTTTCCTCCAATACTGTTAGCCTTTTAGATCGTACGCAGGGATCTGTATAAATAAATGTGAGAATTAAAAGGCAGTTCTAGAAAATAAAAGTAAAATTATTTCAATATTCGCTAATGTTGTCCAGTAAGTATTGCCACTGTGCATAAAGATGTACACCAGGCAGGTATTAAAGCACTATTAATATATTATTTCTGAAAAAAACATGCAATTAGTGTAAAAAACTGCATTTGTCTGAATATCAGTTATAGCCACTACTGCGGTACTCAGATTAGTTAAGGGAAGGTCAGCAATAGAAGCCCATCACAATCTGCAGAAAAGATTTCATCAGTGTGTTGCTGTCCTTTCCCTCTTTCCCTGTCCAGGGAGCAGCCTGTGGATGTGTTTTGACCACCAGGTTAAACTGTGCTGCTACAGTGGAAATGAAGGATGTGGCTGAGCTGTCTGAAAGGGATTCCTGGATCACAAAACTGGCTGCATAGGAACATAAATCCCTTGTTCCCATGTATGCACTTCAAATGTGTACTTAGCTGTTGCCTGGGGTTCAGCCTTAAGGGAGAAGGTTGCTTAGCTTAACTGTGATCGCCTGTCAAAGTCAATCCTCTGGCCTGACTGACAGCAAAGGGGAAAGGCCACATTGCAAAGGGAAAGGAGGAGTAAGGGAAGGGAACTGCACAAGGAACCAGAAAATAATGAAAGCGGAGGGGGGATATCATGGGGACGCAAGAAGATAATAGAGGGGTGGGGTGGGGGCTATAAAACAATGCCGGAAGATAAATACTCATTGCAAACTGTGCTCAAGATAGTGCCATCAGAATACCAAATAACTGGAAGCTGACTTTTGACAATACCTGCAAAAGAAACAGAAGCAGTGGCAAGTAGTCCGCAAGAATACTGTGAATCAGGCATTTTCAGGTGACTGCATATACCTTTTCATGCAACTTGGAGAAAACTAGGAGTCCCGAAACTCTGGGAGATTGCATACGAAACTAATGAACTTCCTTCAGATAGCTGAAGGTTAGCCTAACCCTCCAAAGTCTAGTTATTGGTTATTGAGCATGATAGGTGGATCTAACCCAGCCTTTCTTAACCAGGGTGCCGTGACACCCTAGGGTGCTTTCTAGCTTCCTCTGAGGTATCTTGAAATTTTCACACAGCAGCATTCCTTTCTAAAAGGCAGGCAGGCCAGCTGGCAGCACCATAGGAACGAATGAGAGAAGTTTACCTCCGTCCAGCTCCTGCCTCCTGCTCTCTGCCATGCTGCCCCAGCTGTGACTTCTGCAGTGATGGTAGGACTCTCGAGGGCTCTGATGTGAAAGAAGGAAGCTCCTAGTGTGAGAGTTGGGACTCTGATGTGAAGGGGGGATTTTAATGTAAGGGAGAACACCTGTGTTTTTGCGTCGGGATCCCTCTTGAAATCCAGTACATTTTAGACTGGGGTGCCTTGAGATTTTGTGTACTTTTAAAGAGTGCCACAACTAAAAAAAGGTTGAGAAAGGCTGATCTAACCAATAGTTTGTTTCAAAAATCTCTTAATAAATGAAAACTTAAAATCAATAAAACAATTACAGTGCTTAGTAAATTCAAAACTACCGGTACTGTATACGTTTCCTTTATTAGGGTAATAATCTTTCTTTGAGAAAAAACAGCAAATACAGATTTTACTAAGGAATGAAAAAAAAAGTCTTACCTTCCTGATTGGCAAATCCTTGATGAAGTCCATCACCGCTTGCCTGTCATGAGGAATTACGTACTGACCGTTGGGTTTATTTTTGTCGCTGCAAACTTTTGCCAGCATCATATTTGGAGCAATGCCTAGATGCAAAACATAATGTCTAATGAGCTTGCAATGAACTTAATTACCTTCAAGCCTAATTAGAACTGACTCATCGATCCAGGGGTGAATATACCCCTGCAGATCAGGTGATGAATTGACTGGCAGAGTGTCAGATGCATCTAAATGACTACTGGCACAATACCATGCAATATAACAGATTATCTAACTCCTTTGCTGCAAAAGGATAATAATCCTTGCTAACTACCGTATAAAAGAAGACCTGGGTAGTGAATGAGTTGAGAATGTGTATCAATGCAGATCTCTAAAACTGACATATGTTGGTGAATGTGGAAAATAGAGGTGAAGTAAGATGTGATGAACACAGCAGAGATCAGGACTACAAAGCACTATATCAGACATGAATTGCACTGGTTTCAGTGCCTGTTCAAACTGTAAGTCCAGCCAAAAATGTTATTCTAACCTCTGGTCAGGTTTTAACTGCTATCCAGGGTTTATTAGGGAGATTTACCATCGCTACCCTGCTGACAATGCTTTACCAGACAAGAAGTAAGGGTAACCCTCCAAAAGCAACACAGCAAAAATGAAAAGGTTTTTCTTTAGTACAGTATGGGAAAGGTACAACCCCTGTCAGCATTATATTGCTGCCTATGTCCCTGTTGCAGCTTTTCCTTCACTTCCTGTCTGCTGAAACCACTGTCAGCTGGATAGGAGGGTAAATATTTTCAATAGAGCCCCTGAGTGTAGTAAAAACCCAGCAGGAAATCGAAGCGTTCATCACTCTATTCTAAACAAGAGAAAACATTTACGGTTTGACTTATACTTTAAGCACAACTGAAGGATTTGATTATGTGACTCGAGGGTGAACACCTGTTCCTGACACCAAGGGATCAAATTGTGTACTTAGAACAGCAGGTTTCACACCTCTCATCCTGCCTTTACACACTCCGTGATGATGGGAGTAAAGTGCGCATAGGAAATAAAAACAGAAAGAAAAAACTCAGGAGCTTTTAGCCATAATGTGCTAGTATGTACAGCATATAAGCACATTATGGCAGACTTACCTGTCCAAAGCAATCTCTTCCAGCGCTATGCTCCTCCCTTGCCAGCACTTCCATCTACGTCCTTGTCTTCTTCTGGGTTTCGAGTCATCGGGCCACTTGACCCGATGACCTAACTCCTGCGCATGTACGTCATGAGTCACTTCATCTTGGCATGGCAAGCCTGTGCACCGAGCTGTGCATGCGTGGCTCAGTGTACAGGAAGCAACAAAACTGCTGACAGGAACCAAGAAGCTTTTATGGCAGAAAAGAATTACACAGTCTCGTCTGTCATAGAAAGCCTGCAAGTCGGTCATTTTTGAATGGTTTTATTTTACTCCCACTTTAATGTGACCAAATTACCTGTACATCTTGGGGTAGGTTCCTGACACTTATCATAACTGAAGAATCAACTAGCTACACTATGACCTGGATAAATGAGAAACTTCCTAGACAAACTGAACCAATTCAACATGGCCGTGTAAGATGAGCTTATTGTAGTGGCCCATAAAACCCAGATTTCTGATGCTGTAATTGGATCCGTTAAGAGAGGATTTCTGATTGCTTACTATGGATTACTTCCACACCCCGCTGTTCTTTGCATGGACTTGCTTAACAAGCTGACAACGAATCAGTACAAGCTGAACTGCTATGAAAAAGTTAGCAGTATTCAAATGTGTACATTTAAAATTACCTGTACACCATTATTTGAGCTCTTATATTTCAGCTCATCATTAAATCACCTTCCTTAGCTGCTCTTACTTCTGCCAGCACATTCCAAGACTTCTTTCCATTTAAATGAACAGAGTACACATAGAGTACACATAGTACTGACAGATGGGTCCAGTGTGAAGAAGACGATGTGCACAATCTTAAAGTGGACCTTTACCACTTTTGGCTAAAAATTACATCAGCATACAGCTCTGCATGCTGATATGCAATCATCTTACATTCATTAGTTAAACATATTTTCATTTTATTTACAATTTCTTGTTTTCTACTTCCTGGTTCTCTTTGGCAAAAGTGATGTAATGTGCCCAAGCGTTGCATCCTGGGAAGGTTACATCAGCAGAGCAATGCTGGGAAATCTCATGAGATCTCAGGGAAAGGCATTTTCCTACCCTGAAATGACATGCATGGTCACATGTGCCAGAGTTCTAGGAAGTAAAGGGAGGTATATTCATCTGCCCTTAGTAAAAATGGCCACTGTGAGAAGAATGGGGAGGAACAGAAAATTAAGGAATGCAAAGAATAAAAGCCGGCAATTATCTAGAAGTATGCATTTTCAGATTGCCATTACTAAACATTCCTAAAGGTGTCTTTATTGTTATTTTGAAGATATGGGTAAAAGGTCCTCTTTAACCCCTTCATGACTGAGGCCCTTTTTTCCATTTTTGCACCCATGTTATATTCCACATTTTAGGCCTGAAAATGACGTAAAACCCCCCAACATTATAAAGTTTGTAATATGCAGTGAGGTGGAGGCTCTGTGATTGCAACATCCAAACTGGATGTATCAGTAAATCTTGCTCAGGAGTGTAAAAAAAAAAGGTTTCTTCAGAGAGATGCTTTAGTTGTGTATGGTGAATCAGACACAAAGGCCAGAATGCACACATTGAGCAGCAGCAGGATTTCTATACAGCTGGATGCCCTCCTGTTGAAATACTGGGTTATGGTATTGTTATAGCTCAAACTCGCTTAAGCTAATAAACTAAAAATAAAATTGCTTAAATCAAATCTTAACCCTTGAAGTGGGGCTACACCCACACTGGAAGGGTTAAGTGCTCGTTTTGTATAGGGAGCTAAAAAAGTTATACTCGCCCAAACCTCGTTACTTGCTCTTAGACTACTCTCTCCAACCTGTCTCTTCTTCCGCCCCAGCGCTGTAATATCCCTCGCCGTCCTCATGTCCTATACACTGTATAAGACGTGATGGCTCACCGGACCTTGGACCGCTGGAGCGGAGGGGGAGAGGGGCTGAAGGAAGTGGTCTAAGAGCGATCCCGGGTCGCAGTTCGGGTGAGTATCATTTTTTCTTTAGCCCCTAGACAAAACGAAAACTTAGCCGTTGCTGTAAGTGCATGGGCAAAAAGTTTAGGAAATACTTTGCTGGACAACGTATATTTGTTTGATCTGGATTCATTATTGAAAGAAATGACAGTTTAATACTACAGTAAGTATAAGAATGCAGCTCAACAATCACCACAATGAGACAAAACCCACATATATCATAGATTCCAAGATTCAGTTGGACATTCCTGGTATTTAGGTCCTGCAGCATCCAGGACAGTGTGATAGTGGGTGCTGAGTGCTGGAATGCTCTGCTCCACAGCACCCGCCATTGCAAATTGTGCCAGACTGTCCTGAACATTGATCTCTCAGACCCTTGCAGCAGGTGTCCATTCTAAAGTTAAATCTATCTATACACTGTGTCTAGATATACTGTATATACACACATATACAGACATATACATGCACAAACACAGTGCTGAAAGAATTTTAGATGTAGGGTAATAGGTTATAAACAAATTGCACTAAGAATAAAGTCACCTCAGGAATGAGCTATAATCGTGCACAGAATACCTCAGAATACATAATAAAGTAATAAACTGATCAGAATGTAATTTAGAAGGTGACAGTTAATTTGCTTATCGTGTGTTCCTGCGCTATTCATTAAGCGGTAAAACTAATCAACTGCAGCTGAGAAAGTAAACACCACAAAGAAAAAGCAGCAGTTGCCAGGTAACAAGTCAGAGACCCACACCACAGAGTCTTCACTTACCATTGGCTAATAAGGACAAAAAAAAATGGAACTGCTGACAGCAGAACAAAAATACACAACCATTGTCTTCAGCTTGGGTCTCATGGGCAGATTTTAGGCGAGCCCAATGTTTTCCTTGCAAGAGCTCAATAGATATTACTCATACTTTAAAGACACTGCAGGGTGACTCGCTTTATAGAAACATCCTGGTCGGACACGAGAATATTATTGGAACTATGTAATAAGGCCGTGCAAACATTAAGAACTTCAATAACCCACAGTAAGAAATCAGAGAGCATCTATGACTAGGAACAGATATTCTGGTGGCCAGTTTGCACTGAGGTACTGGGGCCTTAAAGTAACACTAAACTCAAGAGTTAAATCTAAAAAATGCATTCAAGTACCTTAACTATTAACAAAAAAAAATCATCTCTGAATTGGTGCTGACACTGCCCTTCCTTCTGGATGGGGGCTACAAGCTCACATTAATTAACTAATTTGTATTAAAATTATAATACATCACAGGAACAAGCTCGGAGTGGTGGCTACTTTACAACACACACAGGGACCATGGAGAACAAAAGAAGTCACCCTTCAGAAGGAAGGACAGTGTCAGCACCATTTCAGAGATTATTTGAGGATTTACAGCTGAGTGATACACAAATAAGATACATTTTTGTTAGCTATAGATGCTTTCATATTTTTTACTGTGGGTTATTGAATTTCTTAATGTTTGCACGGCCTTATTACATAGTTCCAATAATATTCCTGTGTCTGACCACGATGTTTCTATAAAGCGAGTCACCCCGCAGTGCAGTGAGTTTAGTGTCACTTTAATTGCACAGCAGGCCCCATAGAGCTGTCATTATGGTCAGGGGCCTGCTCAGAGACTGTTCAGGATCTTGACTTTTCAGGAAGTTATTGAGCATGGGGCTGCTGTAAATGTTTTTAGAAGTGGCAGAACAAAGCAGGGTGTGATAAGAAGATGAGCTACACCTAATAAATACCAACTGTTACCATGTTGTTCCCTAGCATTCTCAACATAGAAATGGTGTTGCAACATCACCATATAAGGATAATCTTATATTTTTTACAGTTAATATTTTATCAATTAGAATAAAATAATTAGGAGAGATAAAATTGTCAACGACAGAATTAGGTCTTGTGTCGACAGGCTTTTGATGGCTTCAGAATTGCTTCTCTGCAAATACAAGGCTATGGCAATGAAATGTCCGCTTGAAACAAGTCAACTGTGTCTGCAAAAAATTCTGAATGATTTCGGAATCGACTCAGGGCCTGTTCACACCATGTCTCACCACTGATTTGCGTTTTATTGCACACCACCTCACAAGTATGGTGTGAACATGACACCTAAGTGTTTTCTATGTCCTCTTTTAAAACAATGCATTTGTCAATGCACATGGTGTGAACAAGCTCTTAAACGGATATCAAAATCAAGTTGTATTTGCCCATCAAATTTTGTTGACTCTGGCCTACTGTTACATTGCTCATTATAATTCTGTGATTGTCAATTGTAAATGTATACAGTAATGAGTTAAGCGCTTGTGCATAAGTCTTTCCCTGTGGGCTTCTGGATGGTGATCACTGGTCCCACATAATTACTAAATTCATAAATATGGTGGATCTTGGTTCGTATGTCTGTGAAGGTTCTCATTCATCCAGGTCAAGGTATATCTGTAAAAAAATAAGTCAAGGCAACTGGACTTGCTGTATTTTTCTTGAAGACATTTCACTGGACATCTGACCAGCTTTCTCAATTCAGAATGACAGTCATTCTGAATTGAGAAAGCTGGTCGGATGTCCAGTGAAATGTCTTCAAGAAAAATACAGCAAGTCCAGTTGCCTTGACTTATTTTTTACAGATATGGATCTTGGTTCGTTTTGAATGCCAAACTATGTGCTAGCAAAAACCCTGCTTTTTAATTTCTCTTGCACAGGATAGAAAAAAATAATAGGACCTATGTGAAATCACTTCTCCCCAGCATGTCATAGTTGGACAGGTATGAATCATTAAAAAGCCTTCATTCCAGGTGCCAGCAATGATTATGCAATGGTGGAAGATAATCACAGTATTGCTTCCAGGAAAGAGTGATTTGAAAGGAAACCTGTTCTACCTGTGCTGTCTTAGCTGATCGCCTCCAAAAAATGCAAATGGCCTATCATTTTAATCCTCTGGCTTCAATACTTTGTGACTCAAAGTATAGAAGATCAAAATGACTGACAGGAAACAAGCATTTTAAAGTGATATTAAACCTTTGGGGGTTTTTTATGCATGGGAGGCCCACATGGGATGCAGATCATTGTTTCTTTTTTTAATGTTTCAATTTCTTGGTCTCTAGTGGGTCCCTGCATCGCTCTCCCTCCCTGCATGGGTGCCTCCATCAGCTAAGCAGCTTCTGTGGAGGAGCCAGTGTGTGCATGTTTCCGACCCTACCCGCAAGTAGCTGTTAGTCCATAGACACACACAGTGTGCAGCAGGCCATGCCCCTCCTCTCCTCTCAACAGTTTGACTGACAGCAGAAAAAGCCTATGGCTCCTCTGCCGTCAGTATTCTTCCCCCGCAACTAGGAAGTTCAGGGAACGCAGAATCACTTCAGTGGCGGTGACAGGGGTGTTCAAATGTATGTGTGGGGGGGGACACAAAAATATACTAGGCATTTTATTTACACAACCCACCTACACAACCTCCACGGGTAGGCAAGGACAATTTTGTTTATCCAGGGTTGGCGATCTACTTATTTGCATATTAGAACCCCTCCTAGCTTCTTGCATTTAAAGGAGAACTATGAGGTGAGTGCTTTTCACTCACCTCATAGTTCTAGCCGACCTGTGACAATGAGACTGTCACAGGTCGGCTCAGTAGATCGGGAGGTGAGCGAACACATACCGGCATTCGCTCACCTCTCGATCCTGTCACGGCTCTCTGCCGTGACAGGGGAGGGGCTGGATTCCCCCCTCCCCGCCAGCGCTGACTGGTGGAACGGAGGGGGCGGGTACAGCTGGCTCTGCCTCTAGATAGGCAGAGCCAGCTGTCAGTCACGCAGCTGGGCGGATCCCGGCACAATTGTCGGGATCCGCTTCAGCTGCGGCGTCTCAGTATACCGCGAGCAGCAGCTTGCGGAATTCTGAGCCTAGGGTGAACTATGGGGGAAAAGCCTTAACCCCATAGTTCTCCTTTAAGGAACCAGGATGCACTGAGTGGTGTCAATGATAATGATAGTAAAGATTAAAAAATCTGAGCAGCATCTGCAATTTTAGGATGAACTGGCTTACCTGGGAATTGCACAGTCCCAAAATACAGTGTAGAGGAAGGTAGAAACCTGCATAATTACTTGATACTGTATATTGCATCCTTCAATTTTACAATTCACAATGGTTGCATTTACAGGTCTATACATTCATACCTGCGCTAGCAGTCAAAGAGGTTTTCTGTTCAATTCGGAATCTCATTTCATTCACAGCTTCTTCTGCTGACGTCCCAAAGACCATCACATTTTCCACAGGTTCTTCTACCTTTGCTGGATCCGACAGGGACTGAGGTATGGTTTGTTCATTCAGGAAGGAAGGACTGTCTTCAAATAGCACTGGAGATGTGCATTGTGTCTGTTCTGGTTCACAAGTTCCTGTAGTGGTCAACACACCTGCTATCACCAAACTACACAATTAAGTTGCTAGTGTACTTCCACCCTTGCAGCAACAGTTTGGAAAGGACCTTTGGTGTCGAGAACTTGAGTGGCCTGCACAATGTCCTGACTTCAGTCTTAATGAACATCTTTGGGGTTCCCTGGAGTGCAAACTGCAGATTGGATCTTCTTATTCAACATGAATCTTAAAAAGAAAAGCTTTCCCATCACAGTGGAGGCTGTTATAGCCACAAAGGGGGTGGGGGTAACTCCATATTAATGCCATGGTTTCGGAATGGGATGTTCAACAAGCTCTTATAGGTTTTAAGGTCGGATGTCCACAAACTTTTAGCCATATGGTGATAGTGACAGAGATATCACTGCTTACTTGCAAAGTGAGAGCATGCATTTTTAAATTATTGGTCTGACCAACAAGTTCAAGAAAATTGCTGAATCATTTGCATAAGTATTAGAAACACAGGAGATCAGGGAATTATTATAATGCCTCAGGAATTCAAGAACTACATACAAAAACTAAAGTCCGTTAGTCTCCCTTTACTTGCTAGTAGGAAGAAATTTCTAGAAGATCTTTGCAGAGCTGAAGCCATGAAGTCATGGCCGTAGAAACAAGCATAGTTTTATACAAAGGTTGTCCCACATTCCTCTATCCAAAATAAAATGAGTCAAACACAGTGATGTTTATGAGGGCAAAAGAATCCCATCAGAGGACTCGAAATCCTCAACTATTTTGTACTCTACCTGCTGGTGAGTTATCTTTCTGTAAAGTGCCAGTTTTATTAACATATCTTCTCCGCTCTTCTGGCCATGTCAACCTTTCCTCCAAATGATTGGTAATGTCCAAATAGGCTTCATCAAGACTAAGAGGCAGAAAGTTGGGATCATACTCTGCAAAGACTTCTCTAACCTGAAGAAAGGAAATGAACATTAGGATAAGATTTGGTGAAAACAGAAAAAAAATATGCATTTTTATACATTTCTAGCAGAAGTAAATAGGAACCTGCACAGTTTGGTTACAGGTTGAATGAACCCACAGCTGATAATTCAGTTATGGGTGGTTGCACATGCTGGCCCTCGATCTCAAGACTTCACTAGCAAGGAGGCCTTATTTCATGAATCAAAAAGGTAGCACTATGTTGTTCTCTCATATATAGGATACAAAGTTAAATTTTTTTATATTTGAATTCTGATAATATTTGCATAAAAAGATATACACACCTCTTTGCTTACTTCTCGATATTTGTCGAAATTAAGTGGAACAATGATCAGATTGGGGCACAATTTCTTTGCGATGAATCCTGGCATAGCTGCACGCACACCAAACCTTCTTGCCAAATAATTTGAAGTAGACTTTAAAATGATGATAAAAATGTATGATGATGATGATAAATTCAACAGAATAGAAATCTTAACATATATCTCAATACAAAAATTAAACAAAATTTGTTGTGGCAAATGTTCCTGTAGTATCAAAAGGTTTATTCCTCTTTTATACTTTGTCCTGCATTTAACTGAATTATGCCAGCATGGCGTATCCACAGACACATCTGTCCTAGGGTGACCTTATACAGTATACTCGGGTTCCACTGCCGTGTTTTCACCCTTTGCTGCGCACTCCTAAACTTGACTACAAGCAGCCAATGCAACACTGTCATGTTCAACCACCAGGGGAGCATTTACAGGACGTTCAAACAAGAGTCTACAGCACGCATGGGGTGAAAACTAAACAGTTTTTTTCAATTAAAAAATATAATGCAATCCTTTTTTATTTGCAGGGTTCTATTGTGTTGTAGGAGTTTAGTTCTACTTTACTGCTGTTTTTCTTGCTAAAAACCCCCCACAAAATAACTTGAATTTTATTTAAAAGGCTGAAGAAGAATTCTAGAATAGTTCAAAAGGAGGATATGATTGGGAGGATGTTTAAAAGTGATACATTGTTAAATGAGCTTTATGGGGACAATTTACTACTTTTACTAACGTTCTGTCTTATCCATTTTGCCTGGTTCCATATCCTCTCAGAAACAGAATTTACTTTAACACTTTATGGCTGCGAAGCGACAGGTTATTCTCAGTTTTTGAAATC